TGTGCATATCGTTCCAACTGTTTGATCCATTAGCCAAGGGTACCCTAAACAAGGACTGCTTTGATACTGAGTCTAAGCCGGATTTACTGCTCAAAATGACCCCAAAAGGCAAATTTGCACCAGTGATGCCCCAAGTTTCAGCCTAATGAGAAGTGTTAAATTTTCTTGAATATTTCTGAGCAAAATTCATATGTAACTTCCCACATTTTCACTTTTAGTTGAATATTATGTAAAACTGAAACCCAACTGGTACTACTTCAAGGCACCAAATACCAATCATTCACTGGGGAAGTGACAGAGGAGAAAGAATTACTACTCCAAAGTCATTTCATTGGTTCTCTTTCTCCTTTTTCTTTTTCTTTTATTGCCAGAGGGCATGTGTACTTGTGAAAGGGAGACAGCCAGAGAACAGGAGACAGGGAGGAATCACCCCAGTGGGGCGTGCTCACACTGCAATCCCGACTTGTACACTGCTCTGTCCTGTCTGGAGTTTGGGTGCCCACGTGAATGTGCCCAGTGTGATTTTCAAGATGCAAAGCTAAGACTCAAACTGCACTCAGTCATGTGGGGTCCAGCTCTTTTAACCATTGCGCTATGGGGCTGGTCCCCATTTGTTCTTTGTTATCAAGTTCAATGTTTGCTTAGATATCATCAATACCAAAAAGCAAGTGCTCCCTCTCTAAAAGGATTTGTAGAAGGTCTGAACATGTCTTTGATTCATAAAATAGTCACTCTGATACCTAAAAAATGAGTGACGTTTGGATTAAAAGAACAACATGGCAATGTCTTGCTCAAGAACTGTAATCTAAATACTGGAAACAAAATGAGGATAAAGAGTTGCCCACGGAAAATGCGCTGTGTGGCTAAGGAAATGTCCCTTGCACTGTCAATATTTACCACTGTACCTAGTATCTATAGGGGAATACATCACAGTAATTCTCAGATTTTTGGTCTCTTAAATGAACTTTTCTTCTAGGGCTATGAATACTAACTGCTTCATTCCTTAACCTTCTTTTTTTTTGTTTGTTTCTTTTTTAAAGTCATTCATCTATTTCCTTCAAGAGAAAGTAAGAGAGGAAAGAGACAGGCAACCTGATGGGTCTTTATACCATGCTCCTTACCCTAGCTCTGTAACCAGCCAGGATCACTGTCATGCAAGACCCTCCAGGCCCTGTTGAGGCAGACAGACCCAGGATGCAAACCTGAAGCCCCTACATGGCCTCCACCACCTCAGCAGGGCCAATGTGCTAATACGATTTAGCCAAAAGATATATTCCCAGGCCTCAAAAAGGTTATCATCTCCAATAAATAGTATAGCAACAGAGCTCTTCAACGGGGTCTGGGGGAATGGGCTGCAGCAGGGCTTCATGGGCATGTGACCTGAGCATCTGCACATGGGAACTGTGTCATCTCTGTGGGACAAGTGTTCATGGGCGCTGGCCACCCTGGGAGCCCACATTCTCCTAACTTAGAATTTCCACTGAACATGGAGAAGGCAATAGTACCCTAAGACACCTGAGCAGCCAAGGAACCCTATACTATTCTTGCGTGGTTGTGTTTCTTCCCTGTATTAGCCAACCACTTACTTTGAAAATGATGACACCGAAGGAAAAGGTAAACAGAATGACTCTAGACTCTTTCTGTCAATTCTTCCTTACTTATTAATAACCTAGTGGGAGAGAGTGTTAGTAAAATACATGTGAATGAAGACTGAAATACAAATAGGTAAGTTAGTTTTGTGTGGTGTTTCTACTCTTCTGGTAAAATATGCACGCATGTATAAAATATGAAACACAAACTGTAATTTTGGAGACTCCACATATGAATAAAATGCCTTTTGCTTATTAAACTACCATTGTACAAGATAAAGAATAATAAGATTAATGATGATAATTTAAATATTTAGTATTTCTTTACTTAGAATAGCATTAAATAGCAAGTGAAAATAGTAAGATGAGTGGAGAGAGAGCTCAGAAGGATGGACCACCTGCTGGCCCTGGCCTCAGGCAGCCTGAAGTGCTCACTGCAGGATACCGTCTGATGGCGAGAGCTTCCAAGGTGGGCATGAGGAGAGTCAGGAAGCATGGCTTCCCTAAGACTCCCCGAGCACCTTGTCTGCTGGACACAGGCTCCTGGGCCTTTGAGGCACCCTGACAGGCTTGAACATGCATACAATCCCTTAAGAAACAAAGTATTCTGCTCAGGACACTTGGTCCCTGCACCCACTGCCGGGAATGCAGAGGGCGAGGGCAGCTTCTCTCCGACCTTCCTCAGCTCGAACACTCCTCCGCACAGACGCCTCTCCCTGTCCTGGCCGCCCTTCACCCCAGCTCTCATGCAGTTTTTCTGCAGAACTTCCCTATTCAGTGTATCTATGCAGAGCTGGCGTGTCTGCTCCCTGAGGCACATGGGCAGGAGCCTGACCTGCCATGTTCCCCGCTGCAGCCTGGTTCCTAGCTCTGAACCTGGGAGGTTGTGAGTCCACAGGAAATGTTTGCTTGGTAAATGAATAAATGTAATTAGACACACATAATTAGGATTTATTAGGTTATTCAGTGTCTTTCAAAATTCAAATCTAAGACTTATCTCATTGAAGCAGCAGATTCCAGACATTAGCTATGACATAATCAGATGAGTTTAGACTTTTGCCAAAGCATGCCTAGATGTTTTTACAAAATAATAAGGGAACAATTGATAATTCCATAGGTGCATTATATATATATTTAAATTAGTAATTAGTAGATTTTTAAATAAAATAAAAACACAAAACAACTCTCTTTCTTCCTATTTTCTCCATTTTCCTCATTGTCTCCTCTCATCCTCTCCCGTCCTTGTTGCTGGCCTTAATTTTAGCCCTTCTGCAGGCTGGATTTAAGAGTAGTTAAACGGGGACCAGCAGATGGTATAATGGTAACATCGCTGGACTCCCACATAGTCAACTGTGGTTTGACTTAAACCCGGCAGCTTAAACTCACGCCAGGTGCATGTGCATGCATGCCCAAGATCCTGAGAGGAGAATGAAGGAGAAGGGATTGCAGCATGGCCATCCCCACGGGGGTGTGTGGGGGGGAGTGATTTCTTACTTTCTGTCTCTCTCTCTCTGTCTCTAGTGGGTGCACATGCCCAATAGCAAAAACACCTCTCAAAGAGAATAAAAAAAAAAATGAGTAAATGACTACACAGTCCCTACTGACTACATCCTTATATGTAACAGTTGGTTTCTTGTTTTAAACAACTTACTCAGATAGCATCAAATAAATCTGTGTGTAAGACAAAGGGAAAACATTTAGCATTTTAAAAACGGCTGCTCAGGAGGTGTTTCAGAACACGGCATTTACCAGCCCTCACGCGCATTGGCCGGCTGCCTGACACCCACCTAAGTCCCAACTTGTTTGAGAAACCTTTAAAGTGATGCTGAACACTATGTTTTCAACTTTTCAAAACATTTAGGCTTTCCCGAAACCTGATTAGTGCGCTAGTGCCACATTAATTTTTATGGGAGGAAACAGAGTCCAACAAAATAACAAAGCAGATACTTTATAATGAGAAGTTCAATAAAAGGGGAAGGTGACGGGAAAAAGCCCACAATGCACCTATGTAAAATGGTATTTTCTTATTGGCAAATGATTTCTGTTGCCTTGGTCCAACATGCTCGACTGACGAGAATCCAGCTCATTCTGGTTGACATGCAAACTGATAAGCCTCTGTCTCACTTATTTTTGCCAAGAGGCTGTTTTCAATAGCACATGAGATTAAAAACTCTGTGCTAAAGGCTGAAGCAACACCAGCCATAAGATTAGGTCTACACCATGGTAGAAACCACTGCAAAAAATGTCATCTCCAAAACACTCATCACCAGTCTGGACAAAGCAGAGAGAGTACATTGAAGGAATAATGCTGTCCTGGCCCCCATGGGAGGGACCAGATGGGACCTAATGGCTCTTTCCTACTACTAATTTCTATGATAATTCTAAGTTGCCACATGGCATATGTATATATATTTTTTAATCTAAAGGCAGAATATCAGTCAATAAAGTGACCAGGATTGTAATGAAAGGTATTTTTCATGAACTGTATCTATGCCGCACGTGCTGTTTCTCACCCACGCCTCGCCCCACCCACTAGCAATACATCACGTACTGTTAGGCTGGAAGAAGCAAACATAGACAGGTCATACACAACATGTGTTCGATTATTTCCCAGACCAACTCAGAACAAAGAGATACCAAGTTTGATTCCGAGGTCAGATGTTTTGAGCAGCAATTTTACGAAGTCATTCACCTTAATCTCTTTTTCTGATAATTACAAATTGGATTTAAGGATTACAGTATGCCAATTATGCTTGAAAAAAAATCATAAGGGCAAATATCCTGTGTTTTTAGAGATAAGATTAGGAATTAGAGAGGGAAATATTAATGATTTGGGAAAATTACAGAAGACTTTCTAGTCATTCTTCTTGGTGAGTCAAAGGGCAACTTCTTTTATGACACCTCATTTCCTTCTAACCAGATGTCACCTCTCCATCTCTGAACTTCCAGAACTCTACCTGCACTTCTCAGCTGGCACTTGGGAGTCATTTCATCTGCTTCTGGTTGGTGTTGGGTGCTCTGAAGGAGACCTGACATTTCTCTTGGCATTCTACCTTATACACCAGGGACTGCAGTGATCGGGGAGTGTCAAGGAAGAGACCGAAGTCGGGGACAAATCCCTAAGGAGATGGGAGCATTTCACAATGGCCACCTTTTCTCAGACACAAACCAAAGTGAAAACACTGAAAATAAACTCTTCCTAAGCTTGAGGTTACACAAAATTATTGTACTTAATATAATTAATGTAAATGATATGAAGACCACATGATGTTATTTTCAATGTAGATTGATAAGGCAATTCTCTCTTCCCTCTTCAGCTTGATTTTCTTAATACTTACCTTTCATGAAACACTACCAGGAATCTGCATTCCAGGATGGTCAGTAAGTGACAGAATAAGCGCAAAAAGATACAAGCTCTGGTAGAGTGGGATGAGGCACTTCACGGCCCTGCTGGCGTTGATGCACGTGGCACATATAAGGCTTGGCAGCAGCTTCCCACTCACGATGGCGCCGTCGAACAGCGGCCCGAAAAAGGGAACCTGTGGATTGGAACCGGAAGAACAATTTTCAAAGACCAGCAAAAATCAGATTGAAGCTATGAGCAGAGCTGAGTGACGTCTGGGACCTGGATGAGTCTGCAGGCGCAGGTTACCCACAGAGCTCTCCCTCACTGGAAGGAACTCTGAAGCAAAACCGAGTGGTAAAGTACCCCCAGGTTAACTTTCTTGTGCTATCATTTACAGAAGTGGCACGACTCTTTCTCAGAACCTACATCATGTGGATTATGTACTTCGTTACACATCGCCAGCCTTGCGCCCTCCTGAAACCACCTTGGAACTGGTAATGTGCCTGCCATGGGTCTGATACGTATGAACTTTTTTATTTTTAGGCGCATGCACTCACTGGAGATAGAGAGATAGAGAGAGAAAGAGAGAGAGAGAAACAGAAACAGTAAGAGAAAAAGTGAGAAATCACCCACTGGGAGAATGGCCATACCACAATCCATTCTCTTCCTGGGATCTTGGGCACACATGCACATAAGCCTGACTTTTCAAGCCACTGGGTCTGGGACTTGAACTGTGGTCAGCCATGTGGGAGTCCAGTGACAAATCTGCTATGCCACCTGCTGGCTCCAAATCTGCTACGCCATCTACTGGCTCCACATATGAACTCTTACAAGGAAATGATGACTATCCCCATCAACAGATATCAAGTCCTTTTTCTAAGATTTATTTATTTATTTGTTATTATTTAATTTGACCAGAGAGACAGAGACATTATGGCACAGGAAAGGCAAATGCTCAAGGTCTTGCAGTGGACATAGAAATCAGTACATTAAGAGAGAAGAAGTGAGAAAGCAAGCCACCAGATATGGGACTTGAACCATGGTTGGCCATGTGGGAGTTCAGTACCCTAATCACCCCGCCACCTGCAGGGCCCCCTTTTTATAGTCCTTCTTGAACTTTTTGGTCCTCTGTTTCCAAGACACTGTATTCTCCTAATTTTCTTCTACATCTTTAATAGAAGCTTGGTTTTTTTTCACTGAATCCATTTCTACCATGTGGGCAACCCACAACATTTTTGTGCTTTTTTAATTTTGGATTTCTTTCTTAATTTTTTTCCCTTGTTGTAATTTCACAAATGAGCTCCCTGTGATTGAGGTCTTGTAATTCTCATATGCCTTCACTCATTTATTTATTTTAAATAATTATTTATTTAATCTTATTTATTATTATTTTAAAACTTGCTACAGGGCACATGCACTCACTAGATTGAGAAAGAGGGAGAAAAAGAGAGAAAGCAAGTTGCCAGGTCCAGGACTTGAACCACAGTCAGCCATGTGGGAGTCCAGTACTTTAACCACCACACCACCTGCTGACCCCTACTTGCTTATTTATTATCTGATAGACACTGAGGACAAAGTAGTTACTAATACAAAAATCCCTAATTCTGTTGCATGTAGAGTTCTTTGGAGACTTCAGAGAATAAGCAGTATAGACCCATAAAACATATGGTAACCTAGGTAGTACAAATGCTCAAGTGAAAAGCTGAGGAGAGCAGTAAGAACTTTTGAGGGGAGGGGTCTCCGATGAGATCAAAAGACCAGGGGGGCTTTAAGAAGGAGGTGACATTTTAATAAAGACCTAATAGGAGTGAGGAAATAAACTATAAGCCACAAACACACTTGATAGAACATTATGGCACAGGAAAGGCAAATGCTCAAGGTCTTGCAGTGGACATGGAAATCAGTACATTTAAGGACCATACCATGGCAAGGAAGCCACAGTGGCTGGTGCCCAGTGAATGCAAGGTTAAGAGAGGAGACAAAGTCAGGTACCAAGAGGGGACTGAGAGGGAATTTTAAGAATTCCTACACACAGAGAAGCCTTCTGGAGGGGTTAGGGAAAAGGAGGATATAATTTAATCTACATTTCAAAGGCATTGTTCTGAGTTGAGTTGAGAAAACTGCAAAGGAGAGTTATATAAACCAGTTGGGAACTACTGAATCTTCCAGGCAAGAGATGCTGAGGGTCTGGATCAGAATGGTAGCAGAAAAAACTGGAATATGTTGACAGGATTTGTTGAGGATTGTTAATGAAGTGCAAGAGAAAGAGAGACTCAAGGTTGATGCCACCACTCTGGCTTGGCAATTGGAATGTTCTTGAAATGGAAAAGACAGAGAGGGAGGGTCATTTGTCCTGTTTTAGATGCACTTATATCAGAGAAGTCTGATAGGTATCCAGTGGTGAAATACTGAGGAACCAATGGTTACCCCAGGCTGAAAGTCAGGGGAAAGGCTTAGGTTGGAGATATAAGAGTTATTCACTTCAGATGTTATTGCTAGCCATGAGATCAGATAGTGTCACTGAGAGAGCAAGAGAAGAGGCTCGAGGACTGTACCCTGTTGCCTACAATGTTTAGAAGACATGAGAAGCCATTAGAACAGAAGACTGAGAAGTGGTGGATGAATAAAGCCCCCAAGAAGGAGTACTGTACCTGCACATGACTAGAATAAAGTTACCTACTAAATGAGTAAAATTAATTAATATTTTAAATAATTTAAATGAATGGATGTGGCTCTCTAGCCCAGGTCTTTTGACTTCTCTTATTATTTATTTGTGAAGCACCTTTTCTGTGGTTGGTGACAGAGCAAGGGCTTGGGCTATATTACAAATGAAAGTTTCATTCAATACAGGTAGAAGAGCTGACATAATAAAAAACTATGGACTGGGGGCAGAACACAGTGAAATAGTTAAGGCACTGGACTCCCATGTGGCTGATTGTTGTTCAAGTCCTGGACCTGGCAGCCTGAAATTCATACTGGGTATGTGTGTATGTATACCTAAAATCCCAAGAGGAGAACGGAGGAGAGGGGATTGTGGCATGGCCATCTTCCCTGGTGGGTGATTTCTCATTTTTTCTCTCTCTGTGTCTCTGACAAGTACACATCCCTATAGCAAAAAAAAACCTCTCCAAACAATACAAACAGAAAAACAAAACTATGGGTTAATAGTTCCCAGTAACAATGCAAATAACTTTACAAAGTTTTAGCAAATTAAATACAGCAATATAAAAAGAAGGATAATATATCTTCACCATGTGGAATTTTCCATAGGAATTCAAGGTTTGTTTAATATTCATAAATCAACACTACTACATTAACAGAACAAAGAAGAAAAAAACTACATTAGCTTCTTAACAGATACAGAATAAGTATTACATAAAATTTAACCCTCAATTATGATTGCAAACACAAAACAGAACAAAATCTCCCAGTCAACTAGAAATAGACAGGAATTGCCTCCATTTCACAATATCTAAAAAGAAAAAAATGGCATCCTAATTAGCAGTGAAATATTAAAGGTATTCCACCAAGGATCTGAAAAAGCAAGGATGTCTACACTCATCTCTTTTTTTTGAAACTCATAATCATTACAATAAGGAAAAGTAAATAAAGGGAAAAAAAGAAAGAAATATAAAGTTTAAAATGAAGCAAAATTATTTTTATTCATAGATAATATGATTATTTGCATGAAACATCTAAAGACATATAATTAGAATAAGTGAATTTTTATAAGTGGCAGTATACAATGTAACCTCAAATCAGTCTATTTCTGATGATTATCAATAATATAGAAAATAACATTAAAGCATACTGTTTATAAGCTCATGTGGAGATTAAGATACTAGGTCTCACATGACCAGCTGTGCAGTTTGAGTCCTTGACCTGATGGCTTGAAAATCACACTGGGCACATGTGCATGTGTACCCAAAATCCTGAGAGGAGACTGGAGGAGAAAGGATTGTGACGTGACCATCTCCCTCAGGGGTGATTCCTCACTTTCCCTCTTTCTATCTCTTTCTAGAGAGTGCATGTGCCTTATAGAAAAACTGGAGGTGGGGTGGGGTGGGGTGGGGGAGGGTTTATAAGGGCATCAAAAGACATCTATACTGAAAACACTAACACACAATGCTGAGATGAAGACAACCTAAACAAATGTAAAGATGTACAATGTTCATGGACTGGAAATTTCAATATTGTTAAGATGATAATTCTGAATTTGAGCACAGAACCCAACTGAAATTCTGCCAAGCTTTTTTTTTTTTTTCTTGTTAAAAGATACAGGTCAGTTGTTT